TGCATCCAGTTTTGGTCACCACGATGTAAAAAAGATGCTGAGACTCTAGAAAGAGTACAGAGAAGAGCAACAAAGATGATTAGGGGACTGGAGGCTAAAACATATAAGGAATGGTTGCTGGAATTGGGTATGTCTAGTTTAACGAAGAGAAGGACGAGGGGGGACATGATAGCAGTGTTCCAATATCTCAGGGGCTGCCCCAAAGAAGAGGGAGTCAAGCTATTCTCCAAGGCGCCTGAAGGCAGGACGAGAAGCAACAGATGGAAACTAATCAAGGAGAGAAGCAACCTGGAACTAAGGAGAAACTTCCTGACAGTTAGAACAATTAACCAGTGGAACAACCTACCTCCAGAAGCGGTGAATGCTCCAACACTGGAAGTTTTTAAGAAGAGACTGGACAGCCATTTGTCTGAAATGGTGTAGGGTTTCCTGCCTGAGCAGGGGGTTGGACTAGATGACCTCCAAGGTCCCTTCCAACTTTATTATTATTAGTGAAAATAACAGAACCAGGGAGAAAATTCAGCTGTACAGAAATACCTGCAAAATGAATGGAGCAAGAAAGGATATCTGCCAAACTAATGGGGCAAGATTAAAATAATCAAAGTGAAAAGTGCATTAAACAAAAATGCTCTGAATAAGGGAGATCAGCTACAGCAGAATATTTTTTTTTAGGGGAATTTCACAGCTTTTTGAAGGACACATCTGATAGCAGACTTTTTCAGACTAAGCCCAGGGAGAATTAAAGTCTTCAAATGACACAAAGAAAGGAGTGGCTTCAGTAAAGCAATCAAATGTAGATAAGAGAAGCAGTTCATATCCTCGGTTCTAAGAATGTGTCCTGTGGCTTACAAAAAGGAGAACAGGTTGATTAAGAAGAATTGAGAAGTAGACTTCCCTAAAATCATGATTCAGACAGTGAGTAGTGTGTACTATTATAAAACCCTGCTCTTTTTCAGAAAACAGTCAGCAACACATGTATTACTCATACATGACTGGTACCAAATACATATTCATTTCCACCCAGCTTTCAAACAGAGTATTAGTCAATAGTTGTTGTTGTTTTTTTTAAAAAAAAAGATCGAACGTAAATAAAAAGCACAATATTTGTCCATTCTTAGGAAATTAAAGCCATTCATTTGCAAGATTGTGTGTTGATCCAAAGATGCAGATATATCCTTATCTCCTTGCACGCAGCACAGCTACGGCTAATAGTAATCCTTTCTGAGGCTTTTTTTTTTAGTCAACGAGAGACACTCATGTAAGACTGCTATGGTAGCAGAAGCAATCAACAGGAGTTTGAAATCCCTGAAGTGCTGTCTATGAGTATTCAAGTAGCAATTGGTGCAGCATATGAAGAGTCGCCAGTTCAGATGAGTAAAGAAAAGGAGTTGCAGGCCATCAACAGAAAGGTGAGGAGGAAAGTTGATCACAGTGGACACTGTTTAAATAGCTGAAATCTTCCCTATTAATGCAACATGATGATGGCGTCAGGAATCTCGTGCTAATGTCTTAGGAACAGAAGACTAAAATTCAGCATTGCAGAAATGAATTTGCATTCAGGGAAGTGTTTCAATGACCCTCCACAAGCCTTTGAAAATAGCTGTACCTTAAGCCCAAAATTATAACCCAGCTTAGCCTGATCCTTCCAGCAGATAATTCTGCCAGGGTCCTGTTTAGAAGCTGGAGTTTCTAAGAAAGATGCTAAGAACTGGAATTCAGAGAATGTCAACATGCAACCATTGTCAACAGCAATTCAAGGGAGTGTGGGAAAAGAGAGACCAAGGAATTTGAAGCTTTGACGCAGGAAGGGCTATAACATTCTGCACCATCTCTCACTTTGCTCAGAGTGAGTCTTCCTATCCTGAAAACAAGAAAACAAACCTTTGAAAATATCTGTATCTTAAGGAACTCCGGTGGCTAGGGATTTTGACCTGGCACAAGTGGATATGCAGTGGCAAAGGGACATTGTTGGATATAATTCATAATTCTTGGACAGGCTCAGAGTAAGCGCCCTTTGGAGCAGCATCTCTGCTTTTCAGTATCAGTCCGTTTGTATGGATTGGAATCCCCAGCCCCACCGCCTCCCAAAGTGTCCTCAGAAAGATAATTCATCTCTCCCCTACATGCAACCTTTTCACTGATGGCCATTTTGGAGAACTCACAGAGAAAGAGCCCTGTCTGCTATTCCAATCTACTTTAGACATTTTGAGCATTGCAAGCTATTCACACATTTCTAACTACGAAGTTGAGGTTCTACAACTATTACCAGCTTCTCCCAGGTACCCAACTGACTACAAAACCCAAGTCTTCCACTAAAATCAAATGATTGCCCCCCAAATGATTTTACGAGCCAAAAATTCATTAATTTTTATAGGAATCCAAGGCCTTACAGGAACTAAACTCGGTCTCCTGAAGCCAGGAAAGAGACTTCCATGGGCTCTCCTACAAGAATGTTTCTGGGAATTTGAAGTGAAGTGAACTCAGGATCTTTCTTCATCGTCTTGATAGTATCTATCAATTACATCTGAATTAAAGTAGACCACTGTAACGGTGATATCATCCCTATACATGCGTGCTAAGTCATCAGGAAGAGTCAACATTGCGATGAGCTTTTCCTGGTCTATCTCCCCATACTCATTGGTGCCAATGGCATGTCGGATGAGATGGGTTGCCACATTCCGGTCACAGGGCTGGTCAGTCCGGGCCTTTCTCCGAAGTAGCAGGTCTTGCACATACCCCAAGCTGGTTGGTTTCTTAAAAGTGAGCTCCGTTTTCTGACCATCAGCTTCAACCGTATGGCTTGCAATGAGCTGGACCACCTCTTCATTACTCAACATGTCCCACAGGCCATCAGAAGCAAGAACCAGGAACTTATCCTGCCGCCTGATTTTGTGGTAAATGACCTCTGGCTCAGCAGTCAAATAAGGGGGTGTGTGATAACATGGAGGGACGAACTCATAGATGTTTANCCCTATTTAAAAATTCTCCCTAGGCCAGACCCGCTTGTTGAAAAAGCCATGTCTTGAGGGCGCGGCGAAAAGGTAGGAGGTCCGGAATCGTCCGGATCTCGGGGGGTAGTTCGTTCCAGAGGGTGGGGGCACCCACAGAGAAGGCCCTCCCCCTGGGGGTCGCCAGCCGACATTGCTTGGCCGACGGCACCCTGAGGAGACCCACTCTGTGGGAGCGTACCGGTCTGTGAGAGGGGATCTGTGGCAGAAGGCGGTCTCGGATTTGACTCTGTTTTGCTCAATTCTAAGGAAAATATTTCTACACATACTAACTAGGCGGTATGCTATCATTCCAACTTGTTGTAACCTATAAATTCTTCTCCTTCGGATTATAGGAAGCCGTTTGAAAACTTGAAATACTAAGCAGGGGTCTCCATTCTCTCTGAACTCTTTGGCATTTTGAGCGCACGTCGCAGGTCTTCTCCCAAAATGCTGCTGGTGGAAAATTTGGATGAGCTTGTAGATGGAAAATTTGGATGAGCTTGTAGATGGAGAACGCTTGCTATGGAGATCTCAGCCACACACAGAGCATTGATTTCTCAAAATAAGTCTCATTGCCCTGATCCTTTTTGTGGACCCTTTCCACATCACCTTAATCACACTATAAACATGCCCTTATCTCATGTACTTATGAAATCTTTGTCTCATCTCTAGCCCACAGCTGTGGCAGCTTAGAGATGCGATCTGCCTTGCTTCATTGGCAAGAGAGTCGATGATCTGGCCAAGGGCTTGAGGCTGACCCCCTCCAAACTACATTATGATGACCATTTGGGCTTGAGCTGCAAAACAGAACCTCCACCTGCTTCTCCATGGTCAACTATGTAATGCCTGCTCAGCACCTTTTTCATAGTACGCGCTTTATCAAGTCTTATGCAAGGCTGCTTATGAATGCAGCTTTAGCATTCTTTTGGAAACATGCTAGAACTGGTTTTAAAAATGCTTAGTGGGTTTAGTGCTCTTCTAATTATTTTTTTTTAAAAAAAACACAAAACTTATTATTATTTTGAGAGTCTGCTGGGCCTATGCTGCACGGAAGATTGATTTAAACCTTGAAATAGAGCTGGAACTGCCAGTTTTATAGTGTTCATTCTGTCACCAGTGAGCGCCTTACAGGTTTTCTACTTCTTTTGCTGGCAAGGGATTTCACACTTTTTTAAAAAAATACTATTTTTATTATTTTGGTGGGAAGGTGCCATTTTTCCTACATCACATGGGCTGCTTCTGGGTGCTGCAGGCCACATTCAACACTGTTAGGTCCAGATGGAAATAGTGAAAATCGGAGCTTGCCGGTCTGTGACCGGTCAGCCAAGCTATTGGACATGAGTTTAGCACTATTTCAGAACAGCACTAAACCTGTATTCGTAAACAGTATCAAGCACAGAACATGGCTATGTTGTCACCTGTCCACTGAACATCTCGATGGGGGCTAAATCAGCTTTTCTGTCTTCACCTATCCATCTTCATCCATTTAGAGCAGGGGTCTTCCAACTTGGCCCTTTTATGATTTGTGGACTTCAACTCCCAGAATTCCTCAGCCAATGTGCCTGGCTGAGGAATTCTGGGAGTTGAAGTCCACAAGTCATAAAAGGGCCAAGTTGGAAGACCCCTGATTTAGAGGAAAGTAACCCTCAGTTGGAGAGAAAACAAAAGTGGGGAAAATATATCCATCACCGTTCTTCATTGACCCACATTAAACCAGTAAGGGCAGCCTCACTCAGCAGTATCCTGAGACAGAATAGGGATCAGCAGAAGGCAAAACAGTTGATTCCAGCTCATTTTTTTCATGGATTGGATGGGTGTCGTGCTTTATTATGCTTCCTGACTGTGCTTCATCCCTGCTTAGAAAAATGGAAAAAGTTACGATGCTAGAAAAAGGTATGTGAATATTGCAGTCAAGAGCATTGCAAGCTTCTATGAGTTGATTTGGTTTAATTTTTTTTATTGTTGTTGGGTTTATGGGTTTATTTTGTTGTGTATTTTGTAAAAGCAGGATATAAATCTAAAAATAAATACAGTATTGGGCCCAAAACCAGCACAGTGTATTTTGCATAAAAAAACAGCAAAACTGACTTCTTTATCTTTTCATTCACCTTCATACCTTTATTCCCGAGCAGAATAAGTTGTAAAAGGTTTGAACATATTTTTAAAGTATGTACGTGTAATAAATGCTCTCTTCATCTCAATGCTAGCTCATTTTAACTTGTTAACATTTAAAAATGCTTGATGTACTATGTTAAATTAACATTATACATAAATAAATATGCTTCCTCTTGAAGCAGAAACATCTGTTATCTTGTAAGCACGTTCTATAAAGATTAGTAATTTCTCAATATTACTGACCCTATTTTTTACATAACTTGTTGAACTGTGTCTAACTCAAGTACAGGCCAGCTTCTGGAAAATGTCTCCAATTCAAATTCCTCTGAAATTAACTGTATCTTGGTGAGACCCTGCATTGTTCTGGAGATTGGTCTGAGAGGACCACCCCATCCTCTTTGTTATCATTGATACTTCAATATTCAAGGATATGTTGGTCTGTTTTAAACACAATAAGGGCCTGCTTACGTTAATGAATTTTAATGTTCTAGGATATTTTATCCAGCCACATTAAACAATATAGCCCAGAAATGATACCCTTAATCTAGAGAACATACTCTACATAATGGGAGGCACTGTAATCTACGCAGAACAGGAATGTAGAAACTGTAAGGGTAGAGAGGGAGATGGTAAGGTCACATAGAGCAGCTAAACTGAGTTGACATTTGAGAGGTTAGTGGTAGATCATATGGCTGTGTGTGCATGCGTTTTCAGATACCGTCTTAGTATTTCTCTAGTGGAGAATCTATCAAATAAGTATTTGCAATGAGGGTATCCTTTTTGTTGGCTTCAGCCTCAATAATCTTGAGCAGGACAGATCAGAGAGAATTCTTCTCATTTTTGGAATTGTTTTGCTAAGGCAGGTTTGAGAAAAGTTCTCTGGTGGATGCATCCAGTTTTGGTCACCACGATGTAAAAAAGATGTTGAGACTCTAGAAAGAGTACAGAGAAGAGCAACAAAGATGATTAGGGGACTGGAGACTAAAGCATATAAGGAAAGGCTGCAGGAATTGGGTATGTTTAGTTTAACGAAGAGAAGTACAAGGGGGGACATGATAGCAGTGTTCCAATATCTCAGGGGCTGCCCCAAAGAAGAGGGAGTCAAGCTATTCTCCAAAGCACCTAAAGGCAGGACAAGAAGCAACGGATGGAAACTGATCAAGGAGAGAAGCAACCTGGAACTGAGGAGAAACTTCCTGACAGTTAGAACAATTAACCAGTGAAACAACCTGCCTCCAGAAGCAGCGAATGCTCCAACACTGGAAGTTTTTAAGAAGAGACTGGACAGCCATTTGTCTGAAATGGTGTAGGGTTTCCTGCCTGAGCAGGGGGTTGGACTAGATGACCTCCAAGGTCCCTTCCAACTTTATTATTATTATTATTATTATTATTATTATTATTATTATTATTATTATTATTATTATTATTATTATTATTATTATTATNGTTTTCTGACCATCAGCTTCAACCGTATGGCTTGCAATGAGCTGGACCACCTCTTCATTACTCAACATGTCCCACAGGCCATCAGAAGCAAGAACCAGGAACTTATCCTGCCGCCTGATTTTGTGGTAAATGACCTCTGGCTCAGCAGTCAAATAAGGGGGTGTGTGATAACATGGAGGGACGAACTCATAGATGTTTAAATCCTCCAGGTTGCAGCGGTTTTTAAGGATGCTCTGCTGCAGCTCCTGACTCCACTTGAACATGACATCTCCAAAAGCTCTAAAAGGCATAAGGACTCCCAGCAACCTGTCGTTCAGGATGAGAGTGCTCCCTTCAGAAGCTGGGTGTTCACTTTTTAACCGCAAGATTTCCGACGCATTGAAAGCATTGTGATCCCGGGTAAGGGGTAAAGCAGACCAGGTGCCGTTGGGGTTCTGAGCTCCCAGGATCACCCTGCAGTCCCCAGCATTTGCAACATGCAGATGAATCTGATCCACATGAGCTAAGCAGGCCGTCGCACCCGAGAAAGCCACCTGAACAGCGATATTTTTCAGCAGTTCGTTTCGGGAAGGTGCCTGAACTTCCAGCGATATGTCTGAATCCAGCCTTTTAAAAGCACCAACCAAAGCTTCTTCTATCGTCAGTCCAAGGTCGGTGTCCAAGTTCAGTAAGTCTTGCCAATACACTCTGAGCTGCTCCAGGTACAGGGAGGCAACCTCATGGAAGAAGCTGTCATTGGGGTGTTTGTGCCACTGAAGGATCGGCAGGATCGGTTTCATAGACTCCATGGCCAACTCAATCTCTTCCAGCGTTTGCCGAGGCAGAAGAGAAACAGCGAGGTAAGAAAACAGCCTCTCACTAACCGACTGAGCACAGGCGTAGCCAGCGTGGCCATCAAAGACCCCGAACATCATTCCCCTCGTCTGCAAACAGGTTGCCGCACTTCGCCGGTCTTCCATCGGCACGTTGGCTCCCAAGTGGTTGGACTCGAACTTCAATACTGAGCTGGGATTTTTCCCATCAAATTCAGGGACGGTGTAGGACAACTCGCTCGCCCTTAGGACCTCATTGATCTGTGATGGTGTCAAGTGAAAAGACAAGTCTTCTTCCTCTGTGGAGGTATGTCGGAACGCTTTTCCCAGAGGGAAAGCGCCATTGACCTTGCAACTGCATCTTGCTGGAGACCAACTTGAACGACCTCTGGCAAGCAAACGTTTCCATGCTTGATTTGGGGAGAGAACACATCTGGAATAGAGGTGTCTTCTGCCAGGCAAAGTGGCAACAGCAGACCTTGAAACGATAACCCAACTAGGCATAATGCCCATCCTACGATTCCCTTAGACTTCCAATCGGCGTGTTCTGGAAAGTCTACAAGTAAAACGAAAACATAGTTAAAGGAGAAAACAGGAAGAGCGCACAATTTCGACAGCAAGGCGTTGATTTTCCAAATTACTTTCCACCAAGAGGCTCCCGGAGATATAAGAGCTTATAATTGTTCCAAATAATAATTCTGTCTGCATAGGCAGCTTACAGTCATCAATCTGGCAGCATTCACATGGGAGAAATTAAACGATATGTCAGGACTCTAGCCTCCTGACGAGGAAAGCTATGGCAAATCTAGACAGCATACTAAAAAGCAGAGACATCACCCTGCCAACAAAAGTACGTATAGTCAAGGCCATGGTTTTCCCAGTTGCAATGTATGGCTGTAAAAGTTGGACCATAAGAAAGGCTGAGCGCCAAAGAATTGAGGCCTTTGAACTATGGTGCTGGAGAAGACTCCTGCGAGTTCCCTGGACTGCAAGGCAATCCAACCGGTCAGTCCTAGAGGAGATCAACCCCGACTGCTCTTTAGAAGGCCAGTTCCTGAAGTGGAAACTCAAGTACTTTGGCCACCTAATGAGAAGGAAGGACTCACTGGAGAAGAGCCTGATGCTGGGAAAGATTGAGGGCAATAGAAGAAGGGGACGACAGAGAATGAGGGGGCTGGATGGAGTCACTGAAGCAGTAGGCATGAGCTTAAATGGACTCCAGAAGATGGCAGAGGACAGGAAGGCCTGGAGGAACGTTGTCCATGGGGTCGCGATGGGTCGGACAGGACTTCGCAACTAACAACAACAACTGGGCTCTAGCAGGGATCAGCAGCAGAACACTTTCATAATTGCAATATCTCTTCTACTCGGAAACCACTTCGGGACTTTGTGCTTGAGATGGAAATGATTTGGGGATTTTCTAATTAGATTGTTTTGTTCAGACAGAAATGGCTAGTATATATTATTATGTAAAAGTCAAAAGTTGAGGTTTTACTGTATTCTACTACCAGGGGTAGGCAACCTCGGCTCTTTTATGACTCATGGACTTCAACTCCCAGAATTCCTGAGTCAGCATAGCTGTACTATACCAAAATGAGTAGGAAGTCAATGCTTTTTTTTCTTTTCCCTTTTCACTTACACTTTTTTCTCTTCCCTTTCTCCTCCCTCCGTTTTTCTATTATTTTCATTTTTCTTTGTATTTTATCTTAGGATAAACTGAATAAAATTTGTAATCTCCAAGATTTCAAAATGGCAACATCGCTAAATAGCTTGTACATCCTTACAACACTCGGTATTTTTACATTTTCAAAAAAAGGGCTAAGGGTAGAAATCTTTTGAGATTGATTGCCAAATCTTCTGCGGCTTTGGGTTTTTCTTACCTAATACCTGTAATGGTATGTTGGAATGACCTTAAAAAAAAGGAGGAAGAGCAACAGGACAGACAATTATCATGTAAAAGGTATCTCAGTCCACAGAAAGCAAAGCGATGCGAGAAGCACCTCAGAAGGGACCTACCCTGCTTTTCTGGAAAGTAAAAGTAAAGGAGGGTGAAAGAGCTTTCAGATTTGCAAGATTTTGTCCCTGTAACCTTACAATAAAGGTAGCAGGAACTCGTGGTTTTTATTTCTTGTTTGGACTACCTGGACAACAATATCTTAAGAGCCGTGGTGGCACAGTGGTTAGAATGCAGTATTGCAAGCTAATTCTGCTGTCTGCCAGCAGTTCGATCCTCACTGGCTCAAGATTGACTCAGCCTTCCATCCTTCTGAAGTGAGTAAAATGAGGACCCAGATATTTTACAGCTATTTTGAACTTTCACCATTCCTTTTGAAGGACAATACAGCCTCTTTCTCCTACGTTGTACTTTCCCAAGGCTGAGTAACTGTCTTCTCTCGCCCTCTTCCTCTTCAAGGTCAGAGCTAAATTCCTTTAACCACTTCCTCTCAATCTCAGGGGAATTTGACATCAGACAAATTTATAAATTCAACCCACAGCCTAAAATTGGGCTGGAAGAATCAAGATTTCAGATAAACTCAAGGCTGCTTCCAATGCTAGACTTAAGATAAAGTACCATGCCTTCTTAGCAGCTCAAGTGATGTGCAAATGCCCGGTGGTAAATACATGACTCACGAGATGTACAAGTAATCCCCAACTTTAATTCTGCAACTCAAGGGAGCTTCGCCCAAACTTGATGCAAAATAGAAGGAGAAAGGTAAGCTGCTTCCTTCACCTCCACCCACGGTCTATTATCTGCCCTTGAGAAGATCACAGGAGAAAGAGACAGGAAGGCAACAAACCTGCTCAACCAGATCTTCTTTCTCCTGGCCTTCTTCCAAAATCACAACAGTCACCAACTGTTCAAGTAACAAAGATGCTGTTGTTGATAGGTTGCTATTTCAACAATATTCATTGCATTTTATTGACCATTGTTTGCACTGCTTGCAAACTGCAGGATATAACATAGCTAACAACAAAGATAACAACCAGGTAGATAACAACAAAGATAACAACAAGGTAGATAATAACAAAGATGACTAGGAGGCCAGAGGCTATAACGTATGAAGAACAGTTGCAGGAATTGTGTATGTCCAATCTGATGAAAAAAAAGACTAGAAACGACATGATAGCAATCTTCCAATATTTGAGGAGCTGTCACAAAGAAGAGAAGGTCAACCAAAGCAACTGAAAGCAGAACAAGAAGCAACAGATGGAAACTAATCAAGGAGAGAAGCAACCTAGAACTAAGGAGAAATTTCCTGATAGTGAGAACAATTAATCAGTGGAAGGACTTGCCTCCAGAAGTTGTGGGTGTTCCATCACTGGAGGTTTTTAAGAAGAGATTGGACAACCATTTGTCTGAAACGGTGTAGGGTCTCCTGCTTGGGTGGGGAGAGGTTGGACTGGAGGACCGCCGCCTTCCCTTCCAACTCTGTTATTCTGTTGTTATCCTGTTATTCTTTCTGATCACGTGTATCCCTCACTATCAAGCCCAAACAAAGTCTGGAATGGTGTAGATATCCTACCATAGGCAGGGGGTTGGACTAGAAGATCTAGAAGGTCCCTTCCAACCCTATTATTCTATGCTCTGTGTTCTAACGTGTTAGCTGCCAGTTTTTGGCCCCTTCCATCCTCAAACAAAGAAGCAACAAAGAAGCCCTGCTCCTTTCATAACTGAGGCCACTTGATCATGAGACAACTTCTGCTCGAGACAGGTGGAGGAAGAAAGGCAGTGAATGAACGCAGATCACATTCATACAGAGAAGTCCTGGTTTGTTTCATCATTTGGCACCGCCTGTTTTTGCTCTTTTGCATTAGGCATTATGCAGTTACTGTCTCGTAGCTGTTTCTGTCTGCCTCCCAAGCACACCAGACAGGAAATATGACAAGATGAGCTAATTCTACTTTATTATAAGGCTACATTCACAGAATTTCGCAAGTCTGAAAGAACGTATCTCATCCCACCATTTCTCTTTACTGCGGGATAAGCTAGGGTGGACCTTTTCTAAGTTTCTTTCTTTGCCCCGTTGTTCAGCTGCAGGCTGCCTCCTTATCTGATCATCCTCTAGGCAGCATTTTTTAAATTCCCCCTTCCAAGGTCGTTTTCACATACCATTAAAGTTTCTATTTACCCCAAATTACAGCTGCATCAACACAGTCTGCTAATCCGTTTTTGTAGAATAAGCCATAATTGGCTGTTAACAACTCGCTAAGCTGTAAATCACAGTGCACAAGTTACAGTGGGAGCACCTATTGATTTAAAAGCCAAAACAGGACATTACATGCCCTCCTATTCTTGGCAACGTCTGTGCCTGTAAATTTAAACTAGTTTTTAGTTAATACCGAGTAGGACACAAATCCTGGATATTGCATAGATAAATGCTTGCTATCTGTCCACTATTATCTTCCCCTCCCGCTACATGTTTGAATCTTATGATGTATAGCAGGGGTCTTCAAACGTGGCCCTTTTATGACTCGTGGACTTCAACTCCCAGAATTCCTCAGCCAGGCACAAGAATTCTGGAAGTCCACAAGTCATAAAAGGGCCAAGTTTGAAGACCCCTGATGTGTAGCTTTTTTTTCTAGTCATCCACTTGCACTATGTGTCCAAAGTATACAAATTTATGTCTGCTAATCAAAAACTCAGTTGTTCTGGACTGACTAGTTTGACTTGCAGTCCATGGTTTGCTTAGTAATTAAACATTTAATCTAGACAGTAGTCCTCAATTTACAACCATTTGAAGTTACAACAGACCCCATAGTCACGTAATCAAAATTCAGGAGTTGGCAACTGAGACATATGTACAATGGTTGTAGGGTCCTGTAATTGTCATCCGTGATCTTCCTAGTCAACTTCTGATAAGCAAAGATTATAGGGGAATCTGGATTCCTAAACAACTGCCTTGTTTAGCAATGAAAAATCTGGTCCCATTTGTGTTCGTAAACCAAGCACTACCTGTATATAATTTGGGCAAGATCCACTGTCTTTCTCATTAAAAACAGAAGTTGTGAAGTTTCCTTTTGATAAATACAACATTGCCACTTTTTCTTCTGTTTGTTTCTAGCACAAACAAATGGGAAAAAAGTGGAAATATTGTAAATTACAATCAATCGTTTTTTTTCTACTCACAGAAAAAAAAGAAAATAAAATACCAGGAAGAATTATGAAACATTTCAAAGTTATTTACCTTGTTAATCATTCATGTTTTTGCTTTTTCCAAATATTAGCAGGGCAGATGTCCTTCACCAAGACCTGTTGAAAAAAATCAATGTAGTCAGATTTTAAAAAGATAGACAGAAACATGCCAGTTGTCAGGGCCTGCAAAACAAAACCATCATTCTTCCTTACCTATAAATTTAAATGTATTCACAATATATACCGGATATATTGATAATGTTAGATAACATTTGCTATCCATAGACAAGGATTTCTTTTCCTTGCACGGAAAAAGGATTCCACTACAATGTACGAAAATTCTGTAAGACAGTGCATGCCACACAATAAAAAATTGCCGTGACAAAAGTAGTAGCCTTTTAGGGTTGATTTTC